ATCTACCAGCCCCTGAGTTAAAACAGCCAAAAGAGAAATGCCAGCCTTGTAGCATGAAGCTCCTCTGCTCAAGAATATGTGGTGCTCTGAATCCACAGGGCCTCCTAACGTCTAAACAGCAACACAGATCAGCAACTAGAGTTAATCAATGATAAAAAGCCCAAGTAGGACCATGGGAATACTTGTATAATATGTATTTTTTAAAATCATGTCATAAAACCATCAAAGAAACTACCTCTCTACAGCAAAGTTGCTACTTAAAACATAAGAAAACTTTAGAAACCAGACTGTCTACTTAAAATGCTAAAATAGTATGTTACATTTATAAGAAACAATAAGATAAAAACATAAGTAAACAAAATCTGCCAGAAAATAAATATTCAATGCTAAAGTGTATATTCATGTTTTATTTTTTTAATTTTTATTTATTTATTTTGTGTGTGTGTGGCCCGCTCAGCCCACCAGGGGGCGGGGCGGGCTGGCATGTGGTGCTGCGGGATTGAACCGTGGTCTGCGTGCTTTGCTTAGCTTAGCTTGTTCTAAATAGGTGCTTTAGACCACTGAGCCATCTCACCAGCCCCTATATTCATGTTTTAGAACAGAAAATTAATGATAGGCTATTTTGATAAACACGTCCCTGTCTAGAATGCATACTAAATCATAAAACAAAGAAATAACACAATGTTTTTTAGGTTATACACATGCAAGATCCAAATATGAGAGCAGTAAGGCAAATTCAAAGAAGAAAGTAAACAGAACAGGATTGCAATGCAAGAATCTAATCTGGGAGTGGCAGTTCTGCGAGATATGAGAAAATGTTCTAGTCATTGCATTCCTGTTAATTTATCAATTTATCAGATTTGTGTTGTTTTGAGATAAATTTTAACTATGTGGCCCATGCTGGCCTCGAATTTGCTGTGGTCTTTAGCCTTCATGGCTGGGATAACAGGAATGTACCACCATGCCTGGCTGCAATACAGTCTTACTGATATAAATTATATATATTTGCCTTCTAGCTGGTGCAAAAGAAAGAACTGACACGGGGTAAGGACAGTGAGAGTGTCCTTAAGGAAATAAAGCAGCATGGAAGGACAGAAAGCAACAAAAGGTCATGGCTACTTTGTAAGGATGACCAGGGAAGCCCCATGAGGAGGCAATTTTGAGCTGAGAGCTGAATAAAGGCAGAGAGGGGCTCTCAGGTACATAAATGTAAATGTTTTTATACTGTGAAATAATATGAGGGCCAGCCAAAAAGCTCAGTGGACTAAAATGCCTGCAAGCAGGTGCAAGGGCCTGGAGGTTCAATCCCTGGGCCTGCCATGCTGGCCCTGCCCCCAGGGCACCCTGAGATGGTGACTGAGACTGGGCATGGTGGCTTACACCTGTAATCCCAGCTCTAGGGAGGCTGTAAACAGGTGGATCACTATGAGTTGGATCTAGTAGTGAGACCCTGAACACACTGTAGATCCTTCCCTAAAATACAAAAAAAAAAAAAAAAAAGAAAGAAAGAAAGAAAGAAAGAAAGAAAAATGGTCAAAAATGGATCCTTTAAACATTTCCATTTGTAATTATAGAGTAATATAATGAAAAATTGCAGAAACCAGGTCATTTAATTAATGATACTGAAATTTTTTGGTTCCGTTTCAGGTGCCAGTCTCTTCCCTCTTGACCAAAATAATGCCAGAGAACTTCTATATCTATAGTATTTTCGAAGTTTTTTTTTTTTTTTTTTTTTTTTTTTTTTTTTTTTTTTTTTTTTTTTTTTTTTTTTTAATTCCTTTCCTTCTGACTATCTGAAGTGAGCATGCTAATTTGGTAGTTTAGTGTACATCCAAATTTACACGTTTTTCCACATACAACACACTTTTTTAGAATAAATTCTTTGTGACTTTTGCAAAAAGTGACAAAACAAGGCAGATCTAAACCCTCTTGAGACACAAGCACAATTTTATATTCCGTAAATTAAATGTGTAAAACTTAATACATATGCATCCTCCAAACAGTTTACTGGCAATAAAAGTAGAAATAATACAAGCAACTGAAATAGATTTACCTGGATTGGCTTGTAAATCACAAAAGCATAATGCTATTCAGCTTGAACGGCTCTGCCCATGGTACCTCTTTTGGTAAAGTTGTCCTCTTGCCCTAGAAGTCCCCCAATACAAACACATTCACTGTCATGTCTGTCCCCATAGCAGTTATTCTATGGTCCATTCTTAATGGTAAATTGCCCAGCACCTATTTGCCTTTTCTCATTTCTTCCTCTTTCCTCTTATAGATTATGAGAACCTTTGTTTCATTCCTCTTGATTTTTCCATCCTTAACATAACACTCAGCATTCATATGCTGATGAAGAATTCTATGATCAATTTTGTGCAGCCTTGTTACCAAGTGGAGCCAGGGAAAGCCTACCTTAGACTAGTTAGTTCACAACCTGGCTGGGGAGAGAGTGTGTACATGATTAGTCTACAGAGTGAGTGATATACTTAAGACCTCATATATTGGGCCTAAAGTCACATTTCTGAGGAAGCAGCTCTTGAGACAAGTTGTTCAATGAGCATTAAGTGTCGCCTCTGTGGTGAGGTGCCAGGTGGCGAGAGAGCACATAATTGAATAGAGAGAATATTCTCCTCCTCTCTGAAGATTTACAACCTGAAATTAAGAGTTTACGTAAGAGTTCACCGGTAGTAAATAAAAGTAGCAAGGTTGATGGCCAATTTGCTAAAGTGCTGAAATACCGAATTCTTCTACACCAGTAGTAAGCAGGAGCTACACTAGGCAGCCCTGCTTCGGTGGTTATTCTCCTCCCCTAGTCCTTCTTGTGAGATCCTCTGACTTCTAGTTCTAGCAACTAAATATTTGTCTCAGTTACTCTTCTCTCATTTCTGGGACAAATACCCAACACCAAAAATGAAGGAAGGAAAGGTTTATTTGGTTCACAGTTAATGGAGGTTTCAGTCCATACTCAGCTGGCTCCAAGGCAGAGTGGCACATAGTAAAGGGCAACCTTTCATGGCAGCAGCAAAGAGCACGAGGGCAAAAGGGAGGAGTAGTAGCAACAACACCGGCTGCAGAGTGCAAGTCTGTCTCTATCTTTCTGATATTACATTCAGGCTATCTGCCCCAGGCTGAGTGCAGCACTCTCACCCATCATCCCAGCAGTATTCAGATCCATAATCCCAGTGGATCATGAGCTAAGCACAAACTCTAGAAGTCCACCCCTTGACTGCATGAGGCTTTGGGGGGACAACTAGACACAAACCATAATAAATATAGAGCACTAAATACTCCACCTGTCATCTCAGGGGACACTTTGCCTGGAGTAAGAGGATTTCAAAAGTAGAAATGTTGATAATTCAGTAAACAGCTATTAAAGACTAGAGTATGAAGTTCTAGCTGGAGAAGACAGGAAATGGAAGTGAAGAGAAGAGCGATGAAGATGCATGAAAAATTTTACTTATTTGTTTATATATTTTTTACAGAGTCTCCCTGTGTTCTACTGGCTTCGAACACATGAACTCATTCTGTAGCCCAGGCTGGCCTTGAAGTTGCAGCAACCCTCCCAATTGCTGGGATTACAGGTATGCACCACTATCCTCGGCTTCCACTGAAATATTTTAAGCAGATGTGGCTTTTAAACGTAATAATTCTGACTGACTTTAGTATACAAGTGCTCACTAATGTTTGTCCAAAAAGTGATTGTTGTGCTATTAGCAGTAATGAGTGCTCTTGCTATTCCTGCTCTCTGTGCTCTGCTGTTGCTCTTTATATTCCTGCTTGTTAATGAGGAGGTGGCACATACATCTGTAAGGTGGCACCCACAGACATTATCAGGGATCGTGTCTGCTGATGAAACAGAAAAGACCAGATGAGCACACGTAATTGATCTACAGACTTTGTTTACATCAGCACAAGTCTTTAAGAAGAGGGAAAAGGAAGGTAGCTTTATAACAGCTACAGACTTGTATGGGGGGAATTTGCTTCCTATTGTTACAAATTACAGACCCTATTATTCTACTGTTATTCCCCTATGCCACTGGTGATGTCAGTGTATAGACTTGGATTCTGGTTGATATGGAGTGATTTTTGCTTTCCATTTCACTTTCTGTCAAATAGTGGTGGATGCTGATAAATAGGTTTATTCATCACCACGAACAGGTCTGAAATTACTCAGAAGTCTTGAATTGAAAAGGACCAATAAAATGTTTGATTATATGAAAGTACTGATTGAATTGGTTCTCCATCACTTTAATTCCTTCCTTTTATAAAAGGCAATGTGTTTCTCATTAATGAATGTACAATTAGATGATAATTAATCATCTAAAACAAGACCTGAACAAATCATTGCTTCAACATCACAGTTTACTGTTCTTCGTAACTGGCAGTCATTACATTGTAGGTATTATTAATTATAATTCCTATCATTGTATGCATGTTTTCCATATACTATCTTAATAGTTAACAGCAAATTATTGTCATCGAATAATTTTGAAAATCATTTAGCACATGGACTAAAAATCAGAACGCAAATCAATAAAATTAAGCACAAAAAATTATCTTGAATTCACCTGAAGACAATGGCATACTAATGAGTTATAAAGAAGAATAAATTTGAGTTATTTGTAGAAAAAGAATGTATCTTGAGAAGATAATACAAAGGGAAATCAATCAGTCATAAAGGCTACCTCATAGTGTCCCTAAAATAACAAACCTAAAATATAAGTAATTTAAAGAGCAAAATAAGAGTGGCAGGTTATAAAATGGGAAGCTGACTCGGTAGAGATGGAAAGAAGACATAGAGGAGTGAGAGGGAGGGCGGGTGAGGAAGCAGAGTAAGAAGTTCCAAATATGAGTGTAATTGCTATGTGTTGTAAACACAGTATTAATTTTAAAAGGACAGGTGCTATATGTTCATATTTCCAAAGGTCTGCATATATTTTGTCCTGGAACTGAAAAACGGCACCAAAATTTAACACAGACTCAGGTGTCATTCACTACTGTTTCATATTTTTTATTTTTCCTTAAGAATACAAATTCTCAACGTGACATAAACGTGTGTTTCACAGCATCGTAATGTGGGAGCTCTTTCCCTTCCCGAGCTCCTCCTCTGTACCCCGGCACCTGCAACTCCAAAGCCAGCAGTACGGGTGCGCCCAGAAGTCACTTTTCTTCACTCTGCACGGGTGAACGCTCTGGGGGAAGAAAAGACTCTAATTTCTGCCAGCGCTCTGGAGGCCACAGGATATGTGTTGCATGGGCATGCAGAAGTCCCAGGGACACCTGAAACAATGGGAAACAGAAAAATAACAAAGAAATCATTTTATAAGGCTCATTATTAATGTCATGAAAATTAAATTTGATTCAGGTCTGACATGCCAGGGAAAGACAGTGTTGGTTAAAAATAGTAAATAGTTATGCTACCTTGCACAGGTGCTTTATGTATGTAAGCAGCTTTAATCCTTATAGGAACCATTTTAAGTAGGTTTATTGCTTCCATTTTATTGATCAGAAAACAAAGTGCAGAGTGGTTAAGGAATTCACAAAGCCTAATTTAGCTACCAAGTGTTATAGTCTGGTTTTAGCCTATTATATGGACCACAAAGCATGAATCTAGTTCAGAGTTTGGTTTCAAAATTTCTTACAGAAAACTTTCCTGTATAAAAACACTCAGAGAGACCTGAAAAAAAATGTGGTGAAAAATATGTAAATATGTAAAGGGAACACTTTATCTGGGTAAGGGGATTCACCTACTGGAGGAGCAGCAAGTGTAAGTAGGTAGGCTGGGCAGGGTGACAGAACCGGAAATCATGAACCGGAAGTTATGGAACCGGAAGTCATGGACAGAGCTGGAAATTAGGCAAGCCCAAGAGGTGGGCTGGGAAGTGAGGGAGAAGTGTAGCGGTCATGGCAGGTGGCAAAAACAAACAAACAAACAAACAAACACTGAAGAGTGATCTGGCAGGAAGCAAGAGAAGGGAAGGGGTAAGAAACTTCCTGGAAGACTTAAGATTGAGTCCAGAGGTATAAAGGGACTCATACAACTTTTAATCTCTCTGAAGAAATTCACTTGAGAGAGCCAGAGAATGTGGCAAACTTGTGTAAACTGTAGATCAGAGTCCTATCCTCAGAGCTCACCACTAGCCTTTCAACCAACCCTGGAAACCTGTGTCTTTTATTCTTGTTATTGTTAATACCAGATAATATTTTAATGGTATTTAGATGCTTATAAGACATTCTTATTAAGCTCATACTTATTGAGTACCAGACGAAACCAGACAACACATGTCCATTTTACTTATAGCTTATCTTCAAATGCTTTCTCCATATATTTTTCATTAAAATTAACATACCAATACTACTTCTATTAAAACTCCTCTCTATGCATCTGGCCAAATAGCTCAGCGGGTTAAAGTGCCTGCTTAAGCAGACACAGGGGCTGGGAGTTTAATCCCCAACTTGGGAAGTTGTAAACAGGATAATCACTACAAGTCCGATCTATGCAGTGAGACCCAGTCCTAAATACAATAAATAAATAAGCAGATAGACAGATAGATAAATAAATATTTTAAAAAACCCATCAGTTTACCCAGACGCTCAAAGCAGAAGTAGACATCAGGGAGAGATTTCCAAAGATAGCTGGAAACACACTATGGGTTTAGGGTGCTCAAGGGGCCCGGCCTTAACAAATTAAAATACAAACCAAATAAACTCAAAAGTTAGTAAGAACCCCCAAACTCAATAAAAGATTTTTTTAACTTATTTTGAAAATCAAACTGACAGAAAATTTGAAAATACAGTGCAAACCAGCTCCACTCACCAAAGCCAAACAACTATTGCCATTTGGCAGCGGTCATTTTGTTCTCATTGAATGTTCATATGTGTGTACATATGAACACATATACATTTTTTGGAGCTATTTGAAAATTATTCATATCAGGCTGAATATAAATACTCAGGGGTTTCTTACTACCCTTTGCATTTATTTGGTTTTCATTTTAATTTGTTAAGGCTGTTCCCCTTGAGCTCCCCAAAATCTAAATGCTTCAGTATACATCTCTACAAGATAAGATCATATCCTACTTGAACTCATAGTATATTATGCAAGATATTTAATATTAACATAGCAATTTTTTTTTTTACTTTTTTATAGCAATATTATTTAGTGTAGAGTCTACATTCAAAATTTTCCCATTGTTCCAACAGTGTCTTTTCTGTTTTATTTATTTATTCATTTATTTATTTATTTTTCTGTATTTAGGATAGGGTCTATAGGATCTCACTACATAGATCAGACTCATAGTGATTCTCCTGTGTTTGGCCTTGCAGGACAGGGATTACAGGCACACACCACCACCCCCAGTCTCAATCCCTATCTCAGTGTGCCCCACAAGTAGGGCCGGCACACATACCAGGGATCGAACCCAGGCTACTGCACTCTGCCTAAGAAGGCACTTTAGTCCACTGAGATATCTTGCCAGGCCTGCTTTATTTTTTTAAATTCACCATGTAATCAAACATCACAAGTCACATTTGGTGGTCACTGGTTTATTTCCATTTCCATTTACTTTATTATAACCTGGTGTCCAAGAAAGTTGTCCTACAAAGTGCTCCATATCTAGAATTGCCTGATTCCTTTCTGTCATAAATAGATGCAAGATAAATGTTTGGGGAAAGAATGAAATGTACTTGATATTTTATTTTTCCTTTCTGTCACACTGTGTGGCACAGAATACCAGTTTGTTCTGCTGTTGTAATGCTAAGTTTGGCAATTTGACAAAGGTGATAGAGAATAGATCTCCCCATTCATAAACACACCTTTTCCTTTTTTTAATTAATAAGCAATCTGTGGGATATTTGGAAATGTCAACAGCATTTCACCTCTCAGCTTTATTATGCATCAATGATACAGCCTTAATTATTCCTTACATGGGGGATTACATAAACAGTGTCTCTTCTCCATTAGTCTCTTGTATTTGTTAGCTGATATTTTTCTTTTTAAAAAGTGCCTTCTCTTTCTCAACCCTAGTTGCTTGTATTTTAATCCTGAGCATTCCTTTTTAAGTCAAAATCTATTAGTCTGTATTTTACATTAGATGCTCAATGTGCTTACCTTGTACCTTGTGCCTGTTTCACCTGGAATCAGGTATTTCCTTAAGGAATCTTACTTTCTTTTAGCATGGAATATCATTTAGAAACCAAAGTCTGCCACTAGCTGTGCTTATTGCTCCTGGGTAACGATACCCTACACCAATTCAGAGAATGAGCAGCACCTGAAGGCTCTCCCTCCTCATGCTGTATTTTTCTCTCCATCACCCATACCAAGCACCCTGGCTCCCAGAAACATGAACACATTCATTCTTTTTATCTGTTAGATATGGGGGAGAGATATTTAGAATGAATAAAACCACTACCTCAACTGAATTTACTAAGATCAAGAGATCTGGGCAATTATTGTGGCCTTTTCACTATTCTGTTCTGCGTTCCAAGTAACTGAGCACTGAATAGTGGTGAGTTATAAAGTGGCCTGTTTCAGCTCATAGTTCTGCAGGTGCCCAGTTGAGGAGTCATTTCTAGTGATAGCTGTCCTGGTGGCAGAGGACATGGCAGGCACGAAACAGGATGGCATGTGTATATGTGACTCTCTGGTCTTGGAAAGTCAACTGGAATTCTCTCATGGAGAATTGGACCTAGTGACTCTAATCCCAATCATCCCCAAAGAGTTCTCCCTCCAATCACCACAGTGAAGTTAGTCCAATGTGCCTAAACTCCAGCATGGTGTATGGGAAGGGGAAGGTGTTAACAAGTTTCAAAACCCAGCAGTTCTAAAAGTACATATCACTGTAAGGAGTTTGGCTGAGTCATAGAGTCCTATGAGCCAAGTTCATTGATTGGAATCATTTTTTTTTTTTTTTTGCCCTCCAACATAGAATATGCTACTGTAACATATACATGTTTATTTGTTTCTATTTACATTGTTTTAGGCTTTGGTCTTGTTCCTTTTTTGATTCAATTATTATTCTCAAATAGATAAACATCTGCATGATCAAAAAGTAAAAATTATTTTGAAAAAGTATGTTAGACATAGTAATGCCTCTTTCCCAAATGCCCACATCCTAATTGCTGCAAGTTTTGAATATTACAAGGCAATGGAAAACTCAGGTTGCTCCTCAGCTGAGCTTAGAGGGAGCATCCTGCATGATACAAGAGGCCCCAGTTTCAGCACAATGGTCCTCATCTGGGAAAGGTAGGTAAAATATACTCTAAACCATCCTACGCATTCATGCTAGTAGTGGAAATGGACAGGAGATTTTCCTAGGCCTCAATGATCTGTTCCAGGACACTGTGGTTTTCAGTTCCACCTCCATCTTTTCCTTGATTTTTCTGAGTTCACTTTTTTCATATGGATGATTTGCCAATCTTTTAACTTGGGGGAGCTCCTGCCAATATTTGCTTGCCTGCTTAGTTTCAAAGCTCAGTTTTGGACATGGTGATTTAATTCTGGTTTTTTAATCAACACTTACTTTCCTGAGACTAATTTATGATGCTTTTATTTCAAACATTTATTAAAGATACTACTCTTGCTTCCTGAAAAACGTAATCTTCAAAATTATGAATAATGATGAAAATTCTATCAGATGGATAATATCAATGTTGTTCATAAACATGAAAATACAAAATCCATTTTCATTCAAACTACTGCGACTAATAGAAAAGAGCCTATTCACTAATCCCATTATCTTGTGGATGTTTATTTTTTGTTCACCAGTCTATAGACATGCAAAGATTATAGGGAATATAAAAGAACATAAAAATCCAGAAATACATGAACATTTTCAAATTAAAAGTTATGCTACAGGGATAGCTTTGACTTCCACACTTGGAGTATTAATTAGGGTTCTTCAGAAAGGCAGAACAGGATGTGCAGAGATAAGGAGATTTATTTTAAGGAATTAGCACATGTGATTGTCAAGGCCTGGCAATGTCCAAAGTCTGATGGGGAAGCCTGAAAGAAGGAAGACCAAGGGAAGGCATGCAGTTTGAGTCCAGAGGCCATCTGTGGCTGAACCAGGAGGAGCTGAGCTGTAGACTAGGTGCCAGGCTTTCTGGGGGCTCATTCCTTCTTGCTCAGAGAAAGGCAGCCTCCTGCTCTCCTCATGGCTTCCACTTGGTGGAGGAGGCCCACCCACAGCACAGGACAGTTTATTTCATTCAGCACTCTGATTTAAGTGTAAGTCTCATCCAAAAACACTCTCATAGAAACATCCAGAATGCTTTTCCCA